AAAAAAAAAAAAAAAAAACGTTTGTTATCATCACTTACTCACCACCACCACCGCAACCATAACCACCCTTCAAGTTTGTTTTAAGAGAATCAATTAAAATGTAATATTTTTCCCGAGAGTTAGTGTGGGATGTACATGAGTGACGTCACATACATACATAGAAAATGAATTTTAGATAATAATAATAATGATAATAAAAAAGTTATTAAATTTTTTTTTTTTTTTAAATTTACCGGTCGAAGGAACGCAGTCTTTAACACTTTTACCATTCATTCAACACTTACAAAAAAAAAAAAAAAATTTACGATAAACTACTTCCGGTGGAAAATATTAATAATAATAATAATAATAATAATAATAATAAGAAATATTTCTTTTCCCCATCGTAAAAATTTTTCTTTAAATTTTGATTCCTTTTAAAAAAAAAAATTTACGACGATATCCATAGATTTTTTTTGAAAAGAAATTTTGTCGTGGAAGGAGAAAACAAACCCGTTTTAATAAATCTTTTGTAATACGAAAAAAAAAAAATTCGATAAAAATGAAAAAAAAAAAAATTATCCAATCATTTTTTTTTTTTTCGAAAACTTTTTCCAAAAAAAAAAATTTTTTCCGGATTAAAATTCTTCATATTATAATCGAGACTCAGGTGAGACAACAACAAAAACAAATAACTCGATAAGTTTTCTTTTGTTTTTAGTATTATTATTATTATTATTATTATTATTATTATAAAGAATAAAATTATCGATTTAAATAAATAAATATTATCGAAAATATCGTTCGATATATCGATAATACTCTTTTTTAACTTTAATAATTTATATACGTATTAAAAAACTCATCTCGTAAACCGGATTTTTTAATTTTATTATTATTATTATTATTATATTTAAAATTTAAATTACCAATCAATCAATCATTTTTAATATTAATTAAATTTTCACGGAGAGAGAGAGAAAGAGAGAGAGAGAGAGAGAGAGAGAGATTAAAGGTCAGATACTACAAAATTATTTACCGAACACGATTTTCGCGTATTAATGAATATCTTAAAAGTGTTCTCATCCTTTAGCTCCCCCACCTCCCCCAAAATGAATTTAAGGATTGCGTGGCCTGACCCTTGACCCCCCCGACGTTTTAAAAGTTTTTATTCCAATTAAGGCGGGGGGAGGGGGAAATTCCAAAACTTTTTTTTTTTTTTTAAATGTATTTGTTATCGATTGATTTTCTACACTCCCCCTCCCTCCCCTCCCCTGTTTTCATATATATATATATATATATATATATGTATTTGTTATGAAAACTCTTTTTTAATATAAAATCAATAAAAAAAAAAAAAAAGAAAATTTTTTTCATAAGTATTTGATTATTAATTATTTAACACATTTTGTGAAAAAGTGTCGTCGTCGTCGTCGTCGTCTTGGGAATGAAAATTTTCACCTTTTGTTTTAATTAAATTTTATTTATTTTCATTTCATGGCGGTTTTCGATGATTGTCTTCCCCCTCCCCCTCCCCTTTTTTTTTTTAACGACTTCAAGTTTTCGTTTTGTTATTATTATTATTAATAATAATAATAATTTTAGAAAATGATATACGAAAAACATTCTAGTTTTAAAATTAATACGATACGTGTTAGTTTTATTTAATTTATTTCGAGACGACGACGACGACGACGACGAAAATTATATATACTTTAAAAAAATAAATAAAAAAAAACGTGGAACTAGACAAACATCATTTTAAACGTAATAATAATAATAATAATAATAATAATTTTTTTCTCGATTAAAAATTCGAATTAATTATCGAATTAATTTCGATTTTATTAATGCTCACAAAAAAAGGTACCTAAAAAAAGGAAAAAAGGAAAAAAGGGGGGAAAAAGGGGGGGGAAAAAATTTTTCCATTTCCGTAGGTTCGATTATTATTATCACGTTAAAAAAAAATAATTTTTTTTCGAAATAGGATGGGGGGCAGAATAAAAAAAAATAATTTAATAATAAATATAACATTTTTTTTTAATTGTTAAAATGGATGGGCGGAGGGGGGAGGGAAATTACGTTGAATTGCGTTGGATAAAAGGGATGATCGAGAGAGAGAGAGGGGGGGGGAAGCGGGGGAGAGAGAGGGGTAGGTCGGATGAATGAGGGGTGGTTTTTTTTTTTTTTATCACCTTTTTCACAGTACGTGGCGTAAAAGGAAAGATGTCGCCTCAAACACATTATCTATAAGAGATGAGGAAAAGTTTTCAACATTGCACATAAATCGCTTCGGCAAATACGATTTCAATAAGTTTTTTTTTTACCGTTGCATTTACAAATATATATATATATATTATAAAAGTAAAAAAAATTTAAATTTTTATTATTATTATTTTTTCATTATTATTTTGTCGCTAAAATAAAAAACAAAACAAAAACGTACGGTTTGTTATTTATTTATTTATTTAAATTTTTTTTAGTTAATTTTTTAATCGTTTTTGTCTGTGCAAATTTTTTTTTTTTTTTTTTTTTTTTTTTACTTTCGTTCGGGAGAAAAAAATTATTATTATTATTATTAAGAAATTTACGTTCAGGTAAAATTTTCATTTATTTATTTATTTTGTGTCGAAATTTAAAAAAAATTTATTTTTCGTGTGAATAACACGAACGTGAAATTTAAATTTCTCGGTTGTGAAAGTAACAAAAAAAAAATTTCATTTATTTATTTATTTATTTTTTCTTATTAAAAAGTTTTTTTTTTAAAATTTATTCTACGGTTATTTAATTTAATAATAATAATAATAATGATAATAATAATAATAATAATAAAAGTTCGATTCCGATACGGGGGAAAACTTTTCAAAAGCAACAGATTCAATTTTTTTTTTTTTTTTGCATTCGAACGTTAAAATTATTTTTTTATTTGGGAATAAAAATTTTAATTGTGTAGAATGTTCTAGAACATCGAATAGAATATGGAAAAAATATTAAATTGATTTTTTTATTTACTTTTTTTTTCGCCCTCCCCCCCCATTAAAAAAAAATTTTAATATCGTTAATTTTGTTTGCACACAAAAACTTATATACTTATATTAAATATTGAATTTGAAAAAAAAAAAAAAAAAATTAAAATGCCGAAGTGGGGAGGGGAAATGGGGAGGGGTTTGAAGAGGGGGCGTGTGGGGGAGGGTAGGTAGCGAAAGGGGGAGGGGGGAGAGAAAAAGGAAAGGGTACGTGAGCATCAATAAAAATATTAATATTTACTTTTATGAATGAATGCATGCAAAAATCATTTTTTTTTTTTTTATTTCTATAATCGATAATAATAATAATGATGGTGATGAAACTTAAATACTCCAATCATTATTATTATTATGATTTCTTTTTTTTTTTTGTAGAAAAATGAAATATATGCACATAATCGTACCTGCAGTTTTAGCTGTTATATTAATCATGTCGTCGAAAAAAGCATCAGCTCAACCCGTTTGTTCATCGGCATTTCTCGATAATCCACAAAATAGAAAACTTTGTGCGACTTTAGCTAATTTTTTCGGTTTTCCAAACGCTATCGATGGTTTTCCCGAAGATCTAAAATCAAATTACGGATGTAAGTTTTTTCATAAATAAATAAATAAATAAATAAAATCGATATATACATAAGTTAAACTATCCGTGTTATTGATTTCCGGTTGATAAAAAAAATATAATAATAATAATAATAAAATAATTTTTTTTTCTTAATAGATAAAATACCCATCGGTGGTTATAAGGGAAGAATTTCATCGGCGGATTTTATCGAATCAATGCCAGGTACGAAAAGACAAGATGTCGATCATGTTTTTTTAAGGTTTGGAAAACGTCGTTAAAAAAAAAAATATATAAATTTTCCATTTTCCCTATTTTGTTCCTATTTTTTTGTTTCAAATCGATAAAAAAAAAATCATTTCAAACTTTTTAAATAAATAAATAAATAAAATGAAAATAATAAATAATACATAAACCTTTCATTTCCTTATGTGTTTCATATTACATAAACAAACACCGTAAAAAAAAAAAAATAATAATAATAATAATGATTTTTTTTGAAATTTATTTATTTTTTAATATTAATAAAAAAAATCTATTTTAATAGTTTGATGTGATTTTTTTTTTTGTTAAACAAATAAATAATTAAATAAATAAATAAATAAATAAATGTGTTAATTTATCGTAGAAAATAAATAATAATAATAAATAAATATTTATCGATTAACAAAAAATGAAAAATTTTTTTTTTTTTTTTTTTTAAAATAAAATTTATTTTTAATACGTACTTCCCCTTCCCTCTACTCCTCCCCCGCCCCACCCCCCGAAAAAATATATTTACGTGCATTTTCGTATAAGGGATCCGTGATAATAAATGATTGATAACAATATGATGGATTCCATTTAAAAACGAATTTAATAATCTTTGTAATCCAACGAACAAAAGTTTTCTACTAACTCATATACTCCATATTAAATCTCTAATTATTTATTTTTATTATAGAATAACCGAAAAAAATTATTATTATTATTATCATTATTTCCTTTTTTTTTTTTAAATTAAGACAAACGTACGTACGAAAATAATAATAATAATAATAATAATAATAATAATAATAATAATAATAATAATAATAATAATAATAATAGTTACAATAATTAAATCGATGCTAGTGAATCCGAATCCATTTTTCTTTTTTTTTTTTAATTTTTTTTTGTTAAAAATTAAACCGAAAAATTTCATAAAACGTTTCGTTACGTAAATAATAATAATAATAATAATAATATTAATAATAATAATAATAATCAATGAATCAATACATTCCTCGCGAATAAATAAATAAATAAATAATTTTAATAAATTTTACCCGGAAATAAAATGATTTTATTAAAAATTAAACAATACTCGACGTTTTCTTTTTTTTTCCTTTTTAAAACAAATAAAAATTTAATAATTAAAAGAAATCTTATCATTATTATTATTAGTATCAATTCAAAATAAATAAATAAAAATAATAATAATAATAATAATAATGATGGTAATAATGAATAAAATTTTTTTTTCAACTCGTTGAGTACATTCAAATAAATTATTTTAAAAGTTCGTTTTTTTTTATTATTAATAAATAAATTTTTTTTTTTTTTTTTGAATTTTACGTAATTAATAACTTATGTACATAATATTTTTCTTTTAAATAACTTATTATCCAAAAAAAAATATATGTCGAATTTTAATACAAAAAAAATAAATAAATAAATAAAAATCCGGCGTTTTTTTGTGTTTTCGACTTCATATTTATTTGCTTTAAAAAATTTAATTTTACCTTATTGTTATTATTATTATTATTATTATTATTATTATTACCATAAATAAAATTCTAATTTCCGGTTTAAAATAATGAAGACGTGTAAAAATAAATAAACGTGATCGTCGCGAATATAATTGATTATTTACTTATGTATATATGCATGTTAACGAAACGTTTTTTTTTTAAAAATCGGGGGGAGGGGAAATAATAATAATTTCCCTCATATTTCATTATTATTATTATTACTACTATTATCATTATTATTATTACTTTTATCATTATCATTATTATTATTATTATTATTATTATTATTATTATTATTATTATTATTATTATTATTATTATTACATCGTTAAGTATTCTTCATTCGCGTTTTAACTTTTGCAGTTAAAACTTTTTTTTTTTTTTTTTTTTTTTTTTAACTTTGAAAATTTTTTTTTTTTTTTTTTTTCCCCCCGAGTCCGGGAGTCTCAAAAAATTAATTGAATTTTCCTTTTTTTTCTTTTTTGAATTAAAATTTTAAAAATAATAATAATAATAATAAAAGAAAATTTTGTTTGTTTTTTTTTTTTGGTTTTTGGTTTTTTTGCCAAGATTGATCAATCTTGTTAAAAGAAAATTTCCTTTACTGACATTTTATACGTGATTGATGTAAACGACACTAAATATTGTTTGCCTTAACGTGTAAAATTTTTTCTTCTTTTTTTTTTTCTCTTGTTTTTTTCCATTTCACAAACAAATTTTATTTATTATTTATAAATTAAAGTAATTTTCTGATAAGTGTTATCAAGTAAATCATCCCTCATCGATTTAATAATAATAATAAACGTATTATTATTAGTAAGTTAAAAAAAGAAAATTCTGGAAAATTTTAAATAAAAATCACGATTCGAAAATATAACGAATCGATTTTTAATCATTATTATTATTATCGTTTTTGTTTATTTAAACTTTTCTTACCGGAAGTTTATTTTGTCATTCATTTTTCATTAAAATTTTTTTTTTTTCGAGTCCTTAGAAAAAAAAAAGATTTAAATTATTTATTTTAAATACCTTTTATTATTATTATTATTTTTCTTTCTGGAAAATTTAAGCCGTTTCATGTAAGTTTTCTTCTTTCCAAAAAAAAATCCCCTCATCAAATTCTTAGGCGGTGATGGGGGGGGGGGTTATTGTCATGTGGCTTCTACAAGTTCAAAGGTTATTTAAAAATTAATAATAATAATTTTTTTTTTTTTTTTTAAATTAAATAATTTATAATTTCTAGACTTACATTTTTCTTTTTTTGTTGAGCTTATATAAATTTTTGATTTTAATCTTTTTCTTCATTTTGTACAATCAGTCATCTCAATTCTTTCTTATCTTTTTTTTTTATTTTTCTCTGTTCATATTAGAATTTTTCTATGTTTTATTGTCTTCTTCATTCTATAAAAAAAAAAAAAAAAAAACAAAATTGTAACTATTACAACTCCTACATTTCTTTGTTATATCCGGTTCCATAATTTCCTTCAATGTAATGTTTGTTTATCAACCTTTTTTGTGTTTTCAACCTTTGCAATTTCCATTGTTTTTTTATAACAATTTTTGTAAATTTTTCCCTTAAACTCCCTAATTAAAATTTCATCTAATTTATTCATTCTTATTGTAAATCTTTTGTTTGTATCCTATTGAATCAATTTTTGTTTCAATTATTTATCATTACATTGATTGAAAACAACATTTTACATTTTATTTTTTCAAATTTTCATTTCCACAATTTTTAATTTTCATATATTTAATCAGCTTCTATCAGCATCCCAATATTTGTTTTATGATGAACTTCATTATTGTAAACCTAAAACAAAGTTTTTTCCCCTTTAAAAACATCACCACATGCAATTATTTGCCATTTTATTGCAACACAAAAAGTTGCAATTCTGCTATGGAATGAGTTCTGACTTAGGTTTAAGGTACAAATAGTTGGCTATAACCAGTCTTAAGCTATAGTTTATAGTTAGCTATAATAGCTATAAGGAGAAAAAGTAAAAATTGTATTCTTGTGTCACAATTTCAGGGTCAAAAAATACTTAGCACAATAAAAATTTTGTATTGCTTCATCCATTTTAAAATTATTAACATTAAATAAATTTACAATTTAAGTATAATTAATTAATTAAAGTATTTTGTTTAAACTTGTAATACTTCACTGTAAAAAAGTAAAAAAATTAATATTTTATAATATTTCAATGTAATAAAAAAAAATTACAAATCAAAAACTTTTAATCTTTTTCAAAGTTAACGTTTTTCGAACGTTTCAAAAAAAAATCATAAAATGAAAGACTAACTTGTTGTAAATGAATGTAGTAATGTATCTTTATATAAATTCTTATGCCAACGCATTATTTCGGTCTGGTAAAACCGTTAAATTTCAATTTACTTACATTTATTTAGAGATTATTTAAATAAAATAAAAAAAAAAAAGGATCAAGCCATAGAAATATTAAACGTTAAAAATTTTTAACGTATGAGTACTTATCTTTTTAAAAATAAAATTAATTAAATTAAATACTTGTCAATATGTACCCGGTATGATTCGTTGACGCCATGTTAATAGAACAAATTTCTTTTTATATGTATTATAAAAATTAAATTTTATATTTATATATTTATAATATGGTTATTCATTCGAGTCTGATATTTTCTCGTCTGAAAAAAAATTGATTAGATTAATATTAGTAAGAAACTGATACAACATGATGTAAAAGTTAATTTATATGTGAACAAAAAAAAAATGAATAGATTTCCCTTATATCTAATACACACAAATTCCATTGAGAATTTATTTATTTATTTTTCTTATTAAAAAGAAAAATGAAAATGTTTCATAATCCCGGAAAATAAAATAAAAATATTTTTTCTTTCTCTCCATGAAATTTTTTTTTCTTATTAATAAAACGCGAGAATTATAAAAATTATTATTTGTGTAAACTTACCAAAAATCTCTCTCTCTCCATCACTCGTTACCGCCATATTTGATTTATGAGATTTCGTTTCGTTATGTCAATTTCTGAACGCGCGCACATATACGTCATGACGTTGGAGGTTTCTATACGTAATTAATTTAATTATTTTATTAATATTTGACAACTTTACAAAATTTATTTGAATTACCCCCATCGTCGACGCGAATTATTATCAACAAAATATTTTTTTCTTTTTTTTATTTTTAATCAGAGATGTATAATCGTAAATAATAATAAAATCTAGAAAAAAATTAAATCATCGTCGTCATCATCAACGTCATCATCTACGTCATTTACGTCATCAACATGTCGTCGTCGTCGTCGTCGTTCCAATCCTAATCATAATCATCATTATGATTTTTTTTTTCTTTTATTTTATTATTTCGTTTTTTAATAATAAAAAATAAAAATAAAATTTTATTAATGAACATAATAATAATAATAATAATAATAATAATAATAAATCTTGAACATGTTTTACGGTCGTTAAAAAAAAAATAATAACGATATCGAAAATTAAAAAAAAAAAAAAAATTGCAAAACACAATGTATATCATTTTCGAAAAACAAACAAACAAACAAACGAACGAACAAACAAACGACAGATTCAATAATAATAATAATAATAACGATATTGTTTTGTAAATTTAATTGAATTTAATTAAATGCCTGTAAATAATCCATCTCGATTAAAAAAAAAAAATTTTTTTTTTGATTTTATTGTTATTAATTTGTTACGATCGAATTCATCATTGATTTATTATTATTATTATTATTATTATTATTATTATTATTATTATTATTATTATTACCTGTTTTCAAAATGTCGGAACACAAAAGAATTTCATTCATTTTAAAATAAAATAAAAAAAAAGGAAAAAATATTACAATTAACACCTTCTTCGATTGGCGAAAAAAAAAAAAAAATTTTCTTGTTTCCAAATGGGAATAAAAGTAATAATAATAATAATAATAATAATAATAATAATAATAATAATAATAATAATAATAATAATAAATGGGAACGTAAAATTGTGTTGAAAAACAAAAAAGTTTTTTTTTTTTTTTTTTTATAACTTTCCATTAAATTTTTTTCCTGTGTGGGTGTGGGGGGGTGACCAAAATATACACGCACGCACACACGCACGTACGCACGTGCATTTATGACGTTCGTTTTTAATATAAAAAAAAAATCGAACGGGGAGTTTAAATTGACGTATCACCGGATTTACGTTTCATTTACTTTTCTATACGAAACGTTAGAAAATTTTCTTTTTTTTTCTCCACCCCCCTTCCCCGCCTCCTTCCCGCCCCCCTCCCCCACACTCACTCTTACAAGAAATAATCGATCGAATCAATCATTTTTTTTTTGAATTTTATTTCAAACCCAAATTATTATTATTATTATAACTACGTATTGTATCGAACGAATTTTCTTTTTCTTTTTTCCCTCCCTTCTTTCCTTCTTTCCTCAAGGAAATGAAAATAAATAATAATAATAATAATAATAATAATAATGATAATTTACCCTGCGTTAAAATTTTAAAAGATGATGGAAAAACTAATTTTACCTGCGTGTGGATGTGCGTGCGGATGTGCGTGCGTGTGTTTAGTCCAACCTGTTGAGGAAATAAAAATTTTTATGTTTAAAACTCGTAAATTTTCAACGTGCATAAAAAATTTTAAAAGTTCCAAAAAAAAAATAATAATAAAATACTTATTTTTACCTTTATCAATAATAATAATAATAATAATAATAATAATAATAATAATAATAATAATAATAGGTTTTTATTTATTTTCATTAAAATATTTTTACTATATACTCAAAATAATAATAATAATAATGATTTTTAAAAAATTAAAAAATATTCTCAAATCGATAAAATTTTTTTATTTTTTTTTCATTTTACAATCCGAACAAAAAAAAATTATTATCATTATTAATATAATATAATATTTTAAAAAAAACAATGATATATATTTATATTTATATTTATATAATATTTAACAATTAAAAATAATAATAATAATAATAATAATAATTTTTAATTTTTTAAATTTTTTCCATCGTCCAATTCTTTCGTTGATTTTTTATTTATTTTTATTTCATTATTATCATTATTATTATTATTTATTGAAAATAAAAGTGAGGGGAGGAGGGGGGGGGGGAAATCAACGAATCCAACGACGAATAATAATAATAATAATAAAGAATGGCACAAATTTTTTAAACTTTTCAAACATAAAAACTTTTTATTCAGTCTTGTTTTCGCTCGACTCCCCCCAACCTCTCACAACCCCTCACCCCTCTTACCCCCATACCCCCGGGCAATAAATAAATAATTTAAACGGCATTTTATTTAATAAATCCTCTCCTGCTCTTATTTATAATATAAAATACTTAAAGTTCGTATAAACTACTCCGTTCCTATTTTAAGCATATCAAATAATCAAAACATTATCATTATCATTATCATTATTATCATCATCATCCCTATATATATATATGTTTTTCTTTTTTATACAAGTAACCGCATTTAAAAATAAAATATTATATTTATATAAATTAATAATTATTCGCGTGCGCGTGTAAGCAAAATTTAACGTTTTGAAAATAATAATATTAATAATAATAATAATAATAAATTAAGCATCGTTCGTTGTCAAATTTTTTGAGCAGTTTAAGGTATATATATATAATTATTTAAATTCAATTAAGGCTCCCCGAATTATTATGTGTCGGAAAATTTTATTCTTCGGAAAAATACGAAATGTAAACGACGTCACCGCCGACGTTTATGAGACATTGTCCCTGAATGAAAAACAAAAAAACAATATTAATCCATAAGGATAATCGCAACATTTCCACCATCACTTCTTTTTAGGTTTATACCTGATTTTTGTGCGGGTAATGATAGAGAAAACATTCGGACATGAAATACGCGACCATCGCATTTCCTCCGAGTGCAGTCACGTGTGCTCTAACGATAGCCAAAACCTCCGTGATGAAACTGTGAATGAATCCGCCTAGTCCACCGCCCTTTATTAACGTGAAAATTTTTAAAATTAATTTAAATAAACAAGTAAAATGTCCTCCACGCTACTCACTCACTTCCTCACCTCTCGAATGCAGGTACTTTCCCGAATGAAAAAAAAATTTAAATTTCCTAAATATTTTTCTATTTTTCCACCAGGTACGTAAGGAAGGGGAGTGATGTCGACACCGTAGCGACTTCTAGGCGGAGTCTTTTGAAAATAAAAAAAAAAAAAAATGTTTTCGTCATTCGCTAATAAATGAATTTTCCAAATGAAAAATTTTTTTTTTAAAAGGGGGACTCTTACGTGTTTCAAAAGGGATTTCCCCCCACGAACGGGAGATCGATTCCTGGATTTGACTTGACCTATAGAATCCTCTTCCAGGGTGAATATCAAGTCCGAATCGTCGGATTTTTTAACCGTTTCCCTACTCAGACTCGGCAATAATTTACTTTTGAGTTTTTTCTTTTTCAATTCGTTCTCACCGAGACCCAAAGCCATTCCGAGGAGGCTAAGTTGTATTTCGTCTTGTTCCAAAATCACTTTGAATTGCAAATCGCTGAGTGCGCAAGGTACCATGTGCCTGAGTTTAAAATAAACGCTCTGAAAACAAACAAACAAAATTTTTCACTTAGAAATATTTAAAAATACATTCGACCGCAAGTCTGTCCGTCTGAACAACCTGTAAAAGACGATTAAAATGTTGATTGAATGCACTTAAGGGTTGTCCCAATGGTATTTTTGCTCTCCACACTTGTGTGAACATTTGCAGGTTTTTAACAATTTCGAATTCTTCCAAACCGTGTACGGTCTCCGTGCTGACGACGTGAAAACCTTCTGGTGGCATCGGATCGATGAGCAAAGAAACGACATCCGCATCTTCGGCGTCGTCCACCTGAAAAAAAAAAGAAAAAATTTAATTAAAATCATTTTTAAAAAGGAAATTTTCCGTCACGTGACCCGCAGACTGACCTCTAGTATGCATGTATCTTTATTTCCCAACGATAAATCTAAATCTGCATATTCATCCTCAGATTCGTCTGTGTCTTCCGAAAGACGTCGCCCGTTTAAATGACCGTCGGAATCCTGAAACGACAAAAACAAAAATTTACGACTTCGAAAAAGAAAAATTGAAATCGAAATGAAATGCAAGAAGTAAAATTACCGGACAAATTTTTATTTGGTAGAAATCTTTGCTTTTCTTCACCGTTTCCAATAATTGCTTTTGCATTTCCGCTAATTTTTTACTATCTTTCCACGAATTTCCCGCTGAAATTTTCGGTACCGGCGGCGCGGGCAAAGCGGACAAAAAAACAGCCGTGCCCGTTGCTAATCCTATGAGTATTTTTTCACCTATTGAAACCTGAACCTGCAATTCATCAATGCAATTATATTATTATAATTTTAATTTAAAAGGGAAAAAAGAAAAAGGAAAAGCGGCTTACCTTAAGGCCAAATATTGTGTTCATTCCCTTAACCTTTAATTTATTTATAAGAAGTCTGTGCAACTCGTATTCTAAAAATGGCAAACCGTCGGATATTTCTTTAGCGTTCATTTCTCCCTTACAATCTCTTTTGGGTCTGCACACGTAAGCGTGTATAAATGAACCTTTACCAATAGTGGGAACATTGTCGATCAAATCGATTGTGGTGAAGAGAACGTCTGGAACTTTTCCACGACTGGAAAAAAATTTTTTTTTTTTTTTACATTCATTACAAAAATCCAGAGTAGTTTTTCCAATTTAAATATGCGAATCGTGTACTACTACGTACCCACAAACAGCGCATTTTTGCATGTTCACACGGAAGGGTACGCTTGTTTCGCTGTAGGGAATGTGACACACCGTGCAAGCGACAACATCGACATCTAAAGAACCGTCGGGAGGATTTCGCGGTTTAGAAACGATATTAACTCCTGTGCCCACCATCGCGGAATCTCCAGATTTATCCACGATCTGCTTATTGTTGGTTTTGCTTTCTTTTTCGAAATCGCAACGGTCCAAAGACGCCGTCATTATTTCTTTACTTTGATTTTGCAACTGACTGCTTGTGCGATTATTTAAATGTTGAATCGGAAGTGGAACGTCACTGTCAGATACGGAAGCATTAAGGTTTATTAGTGCAGCAGTACCGGAAGCACTAAGTACGCAAACGTCATCGCTAAAAAAACAACAACACGAGTTGAACGGAAGATTCGAAATAATTTGAAATTCGACAACAAACAAAAACAAACTTCTTACCATATGCTTGTATTTTCCGAATATCCTACCACGACGTTACAACCCATAGCTCTTGCGTGAGACCTGACTTCCATTCTTAGTTCCGTCCACCAAGCATCTCTCGTTTCCGGCTCTTCGAGATTCGTTATCCTTTCCAGCAATTTGACGGATCTCGCGCTAACCGTTCCTCCCAAATGCTGTATAAATCCAGGTGGATATTTCAACATTGTCAGAAAAGGATATTCCAGCATATCCAAATTTTCTTGATTCATCGACGGTCTAATCAGTAGAGAATTTTGCCTGCAGTGACTATCTTTTGGCCCGTAGGATCTGTCACTACCGGTCAGACTATTTCCTGCGTATAAAATTTTGTGACGTCAGAAAAATATTTTTATTCCTAAATTTAAATTACGATACATTTAATCAAGTGATGAAACATGCTGAGTAGTAGGGCTTTCAAGGGAACACAATAATCTTACTATAAAAAAAAAAAAATATTAAAAAATTATTACAAAAAATTTAATCTGCGAAGTCAAAAAGGAAATCATCATTTTTTATTAAAAAAAAAAACAATCAATAGAATTATTATTATTATTATTGTTAAATTAAACTTTTGACCTCGCAGGCTTTATTCATTTCATTATTAACTACGATAGGTAAGTGTATTAGTTGTAAACAAAAACTGGACACAAATAGTGGGGCTCTATACACACACACGCACACACATCACTTACTTTTCCGAAAACCTCCTTAATGGAGACGGAAAAAAAAAAAACAAATTTTATGTTTAAAATAAAATTTTCACAAATTGACAACGAAACGACGACGGAAAAACAAATCGTTTTCTTTCTTTTCACTTTTAAAAAATAATAATAATAATAGTATAAAAAGGAAAAATTTACCTTTAGGAGTGATGCTCAAATCCGAATCTGATGATCGTCGGTGAATGCATGGGACCGAATTGACTTTGGCCGGAGAGTGGGAAGATTTGGCTCCTACCGGCGGATGCTGCGAGTTAACTTGATTGGAAGCGTTCGGAGTTCCCGAGCCTGGAATGCGATTGGCGGCAGCATCGGAATCGTTCCTGGAGGACGGGATCAAGCAGGGACCATGCTCTTTGTAGTCTGGAGCGATTAGGACACTAGAAAGGGTGCTTTCATACTCATGCGACGGATAACAATATAAAGCAGTCGCACTCTTACTTTTAAATAATGGAGGTTTGACTATATTAGATTTATGATGAGGAGTAAGCGAACATGCGGATACTTCCTGATCATAACTAACAATACTAATTTTGGGACATGCCAAATCTAAATTAGTTATTAAATCAAATTTATAAGGATCTAAGGTGTTAGTAATAGTACTAGTACTAGTAGTAGTAGTGGTAGTAGTAGTATTAGTAGCATCTAACAAAAATGTATTACTAGAGGTCTTGTGCTCTAATACAATTTGCGAACATTTCAATTTTTCATCATTTTTATAAAATTTTCCATTTTTCATTATTCTTATATCTGGACTTCTATTTTTGAATTTTCCACGATTTCCTCTTTTGCTAGATAGACGACGTACGGATGAAAAAACAATCGGACTTTTTCTTTTAATGGATGTTACCGAAGAAGAATCATCATCTGATGAACTTTCCGAAGAACTTGAATTTTCCGAGGATGAATCGGATTGTCGTTGATCGTAATCGTTTGCAAATACTTTATTGCTGATTTTCATTTTACTACAATTCGAATTGGGCGTTCCAGGAGGACTAATTGTAGATTCTTTCACTTCGAGTACTCTATCTAATCCGTAGTAAGAAGAATCGCTGTAAGTGCGATGATATGCTTCTCTTGGTTTTCCATACTCGTATTTTCCCTGATGGCTCACATCCTTTTGCGACATATCGGAAACGCTTTCCATTTCCGATTCGCTACCTTCAACCGCAGAAGAATCCGAATTGAATTTATTTTTAAACGTTGGTATTTTTTTAAATAATTTATTTTTATTAGCGAATCCTATTGCTTTTAATCCTTTTATAAATTTGCTTTCCTTATTATTTTCACATTCGCATTTATCAATGTTTGATTCTTTTCCGTTAAAAAATAAACTTTGAGTCGATCTTCCTCTTTTTATATCGGGATGATGAATTCCACGTTCAACGGAATGAGATCTAGGCTCATTGCTCGAATGTGAAAATTTCAAATTACGATTAATTATTTTAACGTTATGACTTTTCATTTTATTTTTATTCCTTCCGAAACGTGGAAATCTTTTCCCGATGATCGTTGGTATTTTTTTAGGACTGTTCAAATTCTTTGCAACAACGACAACCTTTGGCTCGCAAGGAGATTTTTCTCTCAATTTCACCGATACAATACTCCCCGCTAAATTATTATTATTACTAACGTTTAAATTAAAAGGCATGCTATTTTGACTAGCAGAAACTAGTAGTGATACTCTACTAAAGCAAATGTGTTAATTAAAACAAACAAAAAATAATAAAAAAAAAAAAAAAAAAAAAGGAAATATGAATAAGGTGAAAAGAAGAAAAAACAAAAACTATTTTTATATACTGAAATTTAAAAAAGTTTTTTTTTTTTTTTTTTTTTTTTTGGTTTAAGTATTAATAATTTGGGTAGCTTCTATAAATACTTATTGTTAATTAAATAATTATTATTATTAACCATTAATGTGAGAAAAAAAAAAAAATTTAATGACTTTTCGTTTTTAAATCGATAACTGACAAATTAAGGTTTTATCGAGAGAAATTTTCAATAGCATAGTTCGAATATAAATTTCTAAAAGGAAAAATTAAACCTAAAGGAAATATGCATTTTTAAAATGAATTTAAATCAAATATTTAAACAAAAAGGATTTTAAAAATATTTACATAAATAATATGAAAAATGTAAAAAATGATTTATCGAAACTATGATTATGTTAAAAAAAAAATAATAAGGAAAGCCAGCTTATAAAAGCACTAATTTGAAAAAAAAAAAAAAAAAAAACACAAAATGATTTGTAACAAACAAAATGAAAGCCTCTCACTATAAGCTAAAAATAAATTTGAAAACTGACACTTTTTTCACTTTGATATATACAATAATGTTATCAGAAATATACACTTGTAAAAAAAAAACACTTAAAATTATTATTATTATTAGGTATAAATTACTAGCACATTAATTATTAGTAAACACTTGTAAAATATTTACAATAGAAAACTAAATCACTCGTTTTTTTTAATAATCGCACTAGAGCATGTATAATCGCATTGTAATTTATAATGTTGTTAAAAAAAGTAACTTAAAGGTTATTTTTTTATTGGGGTGAAAAAAAAATTTTAATTTAAAAAAATTCCAGAGGAAATAAGCTAGTAATTGGAATATTATAAATATAAATAAAAAAATTCAACTTACTCATTTTGAAAATTTGTATCCAGTGGAATTGAGTTGTCTTGTATTTTTGTTAATGTTACTGCAGTACCTATTCCTCTTGCAACAATTCCAGATTCACCTTCGAGATCGAAATTTTGACTGTACCTGAAATTATTATAGCATTTATAAATATAGTAGAAATGAGCGAGTGAATCGAAATGCATTTATTTAAATAAATGATAATTACCCTATAACTGCATTACCACCTAAATCTAATGCTTTTAATCCAATTTTTCTTTGTATTTCTCCAGAAAGTTTAAAAAATAATGTTTGCCTAGCTTCATTCGAAGCTCTCGGTGTTCGAATTTTATCAATCCACTGATATTCTGGATCATCATTAACGACTAACTCTTCTACAAATCCATGAATGACTTGAGCATGATATCCTTGAGGAATAACAGGAGCTAACCATTTAAAATAAACACTTATTTAAGAATTTATTGTTAAAATATTAAATTTTTTTTACGATTCAAAAAAACTCACAGCAAAAAAATTGCACTCCGCAAGAGGATTGACGAAATTTATTGAAATCAGAAAAAAGTTCAACCTTGACAATGATGTTAACTTCTCCTCTGATTCCATGCATGGTGTCATAAACTGGTATCCAGCCAGACATTATTGATCCTCCTCCAGAACTTCTGCAACATGTGTTATTGACGCTATCTGTGTTCCAAGTAGTTCTCACTGGAGCAGGTACGTTAGGAAGTAATAAAGGATTTAAATCCAAATAAACTTTTCCTATTGCGTCGTTTGCGGAATAAGTATCGTGATCCATTAAACGAATTTGCAACGGTTCATCTTGAAGTTCAGAATCATCAACTTCAAATCGATACCATTCGGAATTCCATTGAGGATTCAACGACTTTCTACAAACATCGGTTTTATATGTTGTATTACCCAATTTTATTTCTACATATGCATCCGTTGTGTCACTCGAACGATCCATAACCGGTAAATTACGGCCTGATAAAATTTTTACTTTGACTTTTCCTGGCATAATTGAAACGCTATTATTATTTTACACCACCATTTATTTCATAATTAATTATTATTAGAGCTACGTTATTATTTTTAACCGTTTTAACATTTTTATATGCATTTTTTAAAAATTTTTACTAAATTAAAGTTTTTTTTTCTTTTTTTTTTTTTTTTTTTTACAAATTATTTAAAGTTTAGGGTAAAGTAAATATCTATTAAAGAGCAGAAGACAGTTAAAATAATAATGATACTCCCGCAAAATTTATCCCTTCATGATGAAGTAAAGCAAAATTTTAAATTTTTTCATTGACATTAAAAAAAAATTCAACAAAATTAAAACATTAAAATAAATTTTGTTTTCAACTAATTATTTTATATTAATCATTATTTAAAAAAATACCAAAAACTATTAAAAAAAACTTTGAAAAAATAAATTTTGATAGAGGGCGTTAGGAGCAACTAAGCCAACAATCAGTTTCCGGTTCCCATTTTCCTCCATTTGGTATTTACAGAATTTAAAATGAAAGTCACAGGACAGGTAATTCACTTTAAAACATTTTTTTTTACTACATTAAAACTATTTTCTAATTTAAAATTATCATTATTTAAATATTACGCATGATTTAATATTTGAGGACTCTTTTAATTTTTTATATTTTAATTATATTCACACGTGTATGGACGAGCTGACGCGTGCTATGCCCAGACGTTCAGCATGGTATTGGAAAAAAAAAAAAAAAAAAACTAATGTTTAATTTTATTTTTAGCTTAAAGAATTCGAAATCATCGGTAGGAAGTTACCTACCGAAAAAACTAAAAATTTACCATCACCATTTTATAAAATGAGAATATTTGCACCGGATTATATTGTAGCTAAATCTCGTTTTTGGTACTTTTTACGTCAATTAAAAAAGATTAAGAAAAGTACAGGAGAAATTGTTTCCCTTAAGGAAGTAAGTTTTTCTTATTATTTCATTTTAATTTAAAAACCTTCTGATTTTGTGTTGAATTGACAATATATCTTATGTCACAACATGTAGGACTCTAAGTAATTTACAAATATTAGCTAAAGAATAATTTAAAAACTAAATTTTTCCCATTTTTTTTTTGTCAGTAACCTAATTCCTGTTACTCTTATCATGGATCTAAACTATTTTTTAGTTGTAGTTTTTTATAATGTTTAGTTTATAGAGAGCTCACCTATCGAAACTATTTAATTAAACCCAATGTGCAATTTTTAAAATTATCAATAATGACTGTATATGATGTTTATCGTTTTTCAGATTCCAGAAAAATCCCCATGCAAAATCAAAAACTTTGGTATTTGGTTAAGATATGATTCAAGATCAGGTACTCACAACATGTACAGAGAATACAGAGATGTAACAGTTGCTGGAGCTGTGACTTTGTGCTATCGTGACATGGGAGCTCGTCATCGTGCCAGAGCTCATTCAATTCAAATAATTAAGGTTGAAGAAGTTAAAGCATCAAATTGCAGACGTCCACAAGTGACACAATTTCATGATTCTAAAATAAAATTCCCTCTGCCTAAGAGAATTCGAGGTGCCAAGAAGGGTCCTTTATTTTCAGTCAGGAGACCAAGAACCTATTACATGTAAAACTCTAACTGAAATATATTTTCAATTTATTTTAAAATGACTTTTTTTTTTTTTTTTTTTCTTTTGCATTTTTCATCGACACATACAAACAAAAGTTCAAAATATTAATTATATATTTGTATTCTTGTAAATCTTCTACAGGAGAAAAAAATTCTTTGGTTTTCATTTGTATGGAAAATAGAAAAAGGCAAAAAAAAAAAAAAAAAAAAAATTTTCAAAAAATAAAATTATTTATGTTCCATACTGAGAATTAAAACAGCTTCAATTTGATTTTTAAGCCATTGAAGAAGAGCTTTATCGTGACTGCAAGCGCTTTTCTCATCGTTCCAAGCTCTTGTCACATTTTCCTCCTAAAAATTTATTAGTCACGTGATTTAATATTTTATTAAACCCATCACTGTCTAAGGACACCTTGACTCACCTGTCTGGTATTAAATATTAATTTATTGTCTTGTATCGAAGGTACAGACATGACGTCATCCACTTTCAACGCCCATATTATTTCATAGGGTCCCCATAATTTATATTTTCCAATTAATAATATGTGCCTTAAAAATTTAAGTTTTACATAGATTTTAATTAAAATTTATTGTTAATAAAATAAATTATTAATAACTTACTGCAAAGTAATAAGTAATATGGTTTTGGATTCCGTTGTGAGAGATGCGTGAGCCCAGTAGATGTCATCGCTGTAAAGACCGCGAGATAAAAGGTTCAAAAGGTTGAGTCCTCTGGCTTCGTGACCTTGAAAAGGTCTCAAACCTAAAACTGGATTAACGTATCGGGGTAATTTGATTCTGCTCAAGACGTTTTCTCCCATTTCCATCGCCCTGTGAAAAAATTTTCATTTTAAAAGTTTTAAATTAAAACCTTCTCCTCCTTCTCCTCCTCCTCCTTTTTTTTACCTTTTCATTCCGTCATCAATCAAATCCAAACAATTGAATATTTCACCGTGTGATTTTGTCATTAATCCCATCAAACCTTTACCGGGTCCTTTGAAAAAATTTTCGACACCTTGAAGAGGACCCGTACCTTGTTTGTGTTTCATAATAACACCCGATAATGCTAAAGTACATATGGAAAAAAAATTTGAATTGGATCGTATTATGAAATCGGGTAAATCCCTATTCTCTTCGAATGAAAAATTATTTTTTTTCGTTTCTTTATTCGAATGTATAACCGTTTGCAGTGCCGTTCCAAGGTACATGGCAAATAATGTTTCCGTTTCTTTTGATCCTTCCGTTTCGTGTCCCAAAAGTCCCAATGCTCCGTTACTTATATTATCGGAAAATTCTTCCGGTACTCCCGTATTTTCCTAAATGAAAAAATTTTTTACTTTTCCATAATACGCATAATAAATAAATAAATAAATAAATAAATTAATTAATTACCAAATAAGGTTCGTAAAAAAGTGGATGACTATCATCGGAAAAATCCAAATATTGTGAATAAGGATTTGTTAACACGTTTATTCCCATGACCAACACGTGTAATTGTTGACATAATTGTGATTTAAAATATTGTAAACCTTGATTCCATACAAATTCTTTACTACAATGTTGTCCGATTGTTTCGAAACACAACAATCTATAAAAACAAACGATTTTAAGTTTCTTCTACAACCCATTCGTACATTCGACTAAAACTAAGAAGAAAAACTAACTTTAAAGTTATCGGTTTTTCTTGTGTGAATGATGACGTCATGGCGTAAAATAAATAATCTATTAATGGATGACAATTATTTTCTTTATATTCTTGTTCGGTTTGTGATGATGAAAACGTTATTTGTAATTTAATCGGTGAGCAATGAAGATATTCAAACATTTTTTCATCGCATTCATCCGAATTAGACTAAAAACGATCATAATAATAATAATAATAATAATAATAATAATAATAATAATAATAATAATAATAAATATTTTAATATATAAAATAACTCAATCATTAATTAAAGTTTATCATTACTTTTACATATATGGGTAAATGAACGAGAGAAATATCATGACGAATATTTTCACAATTATTTAATTTATTTTTCCACAGCCTCCAAAAATCAATCATTTCCGTTATCCAACACTTTTCCAGCTGCAATCTATGCTCTTGCACGACGAATTTAACAAATTTATAAACGTCGTTACAACCTCGATTGTATTTTTTAAGATAACCCATTTCGAATGCCGGTTTCGGATAATATTTAGATGATGATGTTGTGGGAGGAGGAACCGGAAATAAAACGGTTGGAAATTCGGCATCGTATAATTGATTATCGATTTGCAATCTGTGAAGTTGAAAATGAAATAAAGACATGTGTTTAGATCTCCGATATTGTATCCATATTGCCGGACGATGTTTTCTTCTTATTTCCCCGAAAAATGGTTTAGTCATTTGCATTTTTTCAAAATCGATCTGTACCGACAACAAAAAAAAAATCGTTTTTTTTTACCATCCATCCATCCATCCATCCATCGATCGATGAGGATGAGGAATTAACTTATATCGTCTTACGTGTATATAATCTTTTATTTGAGCTTTTGTTAATCCCTGTTTGTATTTATCCTCCAACCAAGAAGATAATTCTAACGCCACGACTTTCCATTTGTGTGCAACCGTTATTTCCCATTGTGCTGCAGAATCTGATAAACTCACGTGACATAATTCTCTCGGAATTTTTTTCTTACATTTATTTATCTTCAAAATCAATCATGTTTTGATTCAACAAATAAAATCTAAAAAAAATAATTTAAAAAAAAAAAAAGCAGAAGAAAATTGTTTTTACTCACGAGTGATATACCCAATCCGTCAAAGGATACGAAAAGTTCTAAATGACTTCTCTCAGCGTCCAAACTTCTCTTCATCCTTTTTGCCAATCTTTCATCTTGAGTTAATAATAAAACTCTTTGACGATCGTTTAAATAACTCGCCCAGTACACAATTATTTTATCTTTCCTAGTTTTTCTAACGAACTAAAAATAATAATAATAATAATAATAATAATAATAATAATAATAAATTCAATTAAAATCCATCGGGAAAAAAAAATCAATGGAGAAGGGAGTAATAATAAACCTCCGATTGTGCGATTTCTCCTTCTGAATCATCACTCGAACTACTATTATCACGTTCCATTGATTTAGATGCATGTTTATTATTATTATCATTCGGTAACGATTGACCTTTTCGAACGACGTGAAAACTGACTTTTTCCTCTCCGAAACCATCTTTCCAAAACGGAACGCAAAAATCTTTTCCCTTATTATTGTAAACGTTCCACAAAAGAGTTCTTTCCTTGCACGGATCATCCCACGTGTACAAGAGTGACTGATAAGGATTCAACAAAACAACTTGTCCCGAATCCTTTTGATGAAATTTTAAAAATAAATCTTCGCATTGATTGTCGATTCGAACGGGAGCGTCGCCGGGTTGATAATTTTGAAAATTTATGTAAAACGGTTCATCGACGTTTCCCGTTACTTTAACCGTGATTCCACACTGTAATATAAACTCAACTTCGTAAACTTCCGGTTCCGTTTCCTTTCAAACTTGTAACGAACGTAATCAATTACTTACTCCCTTATCCATTCTCAAAACAGTCGTGTGTGTTATACTAAATGGAATATTTTGAGAAATGTGTTTACTATCTCTAAATTTAACAAACATTCTCATTGTATCCGTTTCCGGCCAAAATGGTAAAAACTAAAAAATATATTTTTTTTTTACCAATCAAAATCCTTCCCTTTATTTATGATACCTACATTAAATTAATCAAAACATGGAGAGAGAGAGAGAGAGAAAAAAACGTACCTGTCCAGGAGCTATATCTACCCATAAATCCGCCTTTTCGTTATCTTCCATAAAACGAAGATGTTTTCTACAAGAATTGGTAACGATAAAATTTGGAAGAAACGTTATAATTTTCGTTAATTTTGGATTTATTTGAGAAAGATTAGATTTAACTAATATTCTATAACGTCTTTTCCTTTCTTTATCCCTTCGAAAAAAAAAAAAAAAAAAAAAAATTTTTTAAATAATTTTTTATTAAATTCAATCAATAAGTAGGTTTTTCCGATAACGGACTTGCAAATGACCAAACCGCTGCAACCTGATGCATCCAGAGAAAATGCAGACGACCACGAAGAACTAAAAGCTCTTATTCTAACGCAATGTCTTCTTTGTTTACGAAAACTAAATAGTAAAGGCCCTTCACCGACCCATTCCAAAATGCTATCCGTCAATGAACCCTAGTAACAAAAAAATTCGTTATAATGATAATAATAAAAAATTTATTTCTTATCACTAACCAATGAGTTATTTACTCTTATTTGAAGGGGAAGTCCCGTTTTATTTATCAACCAATAAGATGAATATACTGTGATTGTTACGTTGGGCGTACGAGTTATTAATAAATTTAACAAAAGTTGTTTATTTCCGCCATCCGTATCTTGTTCCGTTATCATGGTGACAATTTTTTCTTCTACATCTCCGGTTAAATTAAAAGAACCCGTCCAATGTAAGCCTAAATATTCTGAAATCTGAATAACCGTTCGAATAAATAAAATTTATTATTATTATTATTATTAAGTATAGGAAAATCCTTTTTATCTTCTTTTACCTCCATGATAATTTTTTGTGGTTTTCTTAAATCCAACGAATAAACATTCGTCTCATCTCCAGCTTCTATTCTAAAATCATAATTGATACTCGAGAGTTTTATCTCGATCGCATATGGTAAAATGTTTAGTATTAATAACGTGGGAAGTAAACGAATCGTACAATCGGATAACGATCTTTGATTATTAGTTATATTTATATTATCATCGCAACAAGCCTAAAACAATAATAATGATTTTTATCACAATGGCATTTTCCCTCCATTTTTAATTTTATACCTTCACGGAAAACACGTTCGGATCATTTTCTTGTTTTGATTGACAGTATAAATTTTTAGATGTTCCAACATCCGTCATTATTTCCTGCCACGATATGCTATTTTCGCTCACGTGGTAATCACTGCAAATTTCAAAAGGAAACGACCGTTACGTCATTTTCATATACGAGAGAGTAAAAACTACCTTCGCGACTTAATACCTGACGTGTGCGGGTGCTATATATAATTTGCTATGATAAGCTACGAACAGTGGGATGTTATACGTGTCATCGGGTTCTATCACGGACAATCTTATCAAATCTCCAAACGGATTCGTTGCTTCTCCAATTATGATTTCACCCAATGCTTCTATCACGCTTTTATTATAATAAATTTCAATCGCGTACGATGTGGAATTTAATATCTGTTTAATAATAATAATAATAATTAATTACGGGTTAATTTAAATAACGGATTTTTTAATCATCGAACTTACCCTTAAGGGACTGCTGAGAACGTAATTTCTTATTCTGAAACGACACGCGGTTGACAGTAATAAATGATACCTCGTTTGATTTCTTGTCGGTAATAAAGTATGTAATTTATTACAACTCATTGATGGTGCCACTACGTTTAAGTCGTTGAAACCTTAAAGATTAAAATTTTTACGTTTAGTTTTAGTTTAAAATGAAATAATTAAGGTACCAATACCAACCGATACCAACCTGGTACTTGAATTAAAAGTTTATAGTCTGTGACTCTATTATAAAGTTGTGTAACCGTTTTTTGTGGATATTTAAAAACAAAATCTAAATTTTCCAATTCGTTGACTTTATCAACGCTAAAATAATAATAATAATAATAATAATAATAATAATAATATAAATAAGTAAAAAAAAAAAAAAAAGGAAAAAAGGAAATGATAAATACCTTCCAAAATCCGATTCGTTATCAGATGCTGTCGGACTTTGATAAGATCTTAAACTTTCTGGAGAGCTTGATGGAGAATTTTCCGAATCGTATTTTGATACAATTAAAGGTTTGTCTTTATTCGAATTCGACGACTGAAAACAAATAAAAATTAATTAAAAGTAAATTTTTGATGTTGATCAGTTTATAAAAATGTTAAAACTGACTTTTACGAGTAACGTCACAACACTCCGTGGGCCTAAATGATTTTTTACAGTTGCTCCTTCGTTCGGTATTGAAAACAATGGAAAAAATGGCGTTTCGGAAAATGCATTTGATATTTCTTTAAATATTTTAACAGATTGTGGAGTGAGCGTGAGTTCTAATTTATTTTTAGAATGTAAAATCACGTGAATTGCCAATCTTTCAACAGCTTCCGTTTCCAAACCCGAATCTACAGAATCAGCTGGAAAAAATTAAAAAAAAAATTTTCAACTTTTTCTTTTAAGACTTTTTAAATTAAAAATATTTATCATTACAATGTTTTTTAAGAAAAACGGCTCTTCCTTGTCCGTTACTTCTATTACTATTTGTTTCTTCTTCGGTTTCGACTTCTAACTCTTCCGTTTCTTCTTCTGTCGCGCTTGATTCTGCAGATTCGCTTCCGTCTCTATCGCTGTTGGTACCAGTAAATAAATGATCAACGGCGTTACGTAATTTTTCAAAAGCTCCATTTTCATTTTCCGAATCTGACGAATCACCGCACGAAAACGACACTGTAAATTTTGGTCATTAGTATGCCAAATACTAACTTGACAAAGGTTTTTCTTATAGAAAAAAAAAAAGTTTTTTTAACTTTACAATTTTGCCTTTTGGTTGTTGTCGTTGGATAATTATCGAAATTACGCCTTCTTAAAAAAATCATTTCTTGATCGGATTCTTCGCCGGAAGTATCGCTATCTAAAACATCATCCGTCGGATTGGAAATTTTCCTTTCTTTATTTTTATTTATTTCCGTTTGAAAATTAACGTGGGGAGATATGGGAAATGATTTTCCCTGAAATGTGTGAAAAACGAGTTTCCACGGTTTTTTTTCAAATCCTTCGTAACAGGGTTCGATAAAGGGTTCCCACACGTCGATTTCTTCGTTGAAATATGCCACTTGAACCTCGATTTCCCCTAAATCATCACAAAATTTAGTTAAAAAAAAGTTGGTAAACCTAAAGTTAAAACTGTCACGTTGGTAAACCTTTTAAATTTATTGACGTTGACCAATCGTAAGCGATTAATTTGAAAGACGTTTCCGTTAACAACAATGGCTTCTTGTATGCACCCTGCGATGCGTAAAGTAATAATTTTATACGGCCAATATTAATGGATAAACTTTCAGCCGGTCTTCCAATGGGAAATGAAGGTTTCTGTGATAAAAATGGCTCTGTAACAGCTTTTGAAAAAATATTTTTTTTCTTATTATAATAACAAAAAAAATTTATTTTTTAAATGGCAAATTAATTCGCGGGAACAAACTCTCACCGCATATATCAGCTTCACAATAAGATGAAATTTTTTTAGGCGACCACAAATCTTCACTTTCGTGTACGACTGAAAATGTTTTTTTATTATTATTATTATTATTATTATTTGATTTACCATCGAAAAAAGATGTCGTTCTTAATTCTTGAATTATCTGCCAATAAAAAAAAAAAAAAAAAAAAATCGATTTAGTAATGACAAATATTTTCGAAACAAAAAAAAAAAAAAAAAAAATTTTCTACAAACTTGTGCTATTGTAGCCAAAGTAGAAACAGCAATTTGTAAATCGATGGGACTGACTTTAACTTCTATTTTCAAACCATCGTCCATGTTTTTGGCTATGCGAGATATTTCAATATCACACTGACTCAAAAGCTGTAGAAAAACAAAAGAAAAAAGTTTTTAATTTAAGATAGAAAGAGAGAGAGAGAGAAAATTAAAATTTCAGGATCGCTTACGGTTGTTGGTTTTTGTTTAATTTTTATCGGTCCTGAAAAACATTTTGACCAAGCTTGAAGACCGGCAAGTGTAACAACCAATTCATCGCGACCTCTTCTTTTACTCCAATCGATTAACAGTTCGCAACGAAACAATATGGCAGAAATATTTTTGAACGAATCAGTTGATAATAATATTATTTCAGGTTTCCGAAATTGCAAAGATAAAGATAGTCCTTTAAAAAAAAAAACAAAATTATTACTTTTATTCGGTTAAACAGGTACAAAAAACCAAAAAATTTTTACCATTTTGATCATCCGTGGTACAAGAAGTAGTTGATGAGTAAAAACCACTTGTGCTATCAGTACTGAGAAACGGTTGAAATATTTTCAAATCGTTTGATAAATTTTTCTAGAAAATTGATAATAATCACGATTAGGTAAATTTTTAAACGTCATCATCAAAAGGATTTGTACCTGTTGTACCAAATCTCCAACGTAACCATGATTTATAAATCCTCCTTCGCTTTGTTTAACCGGTATCGCATCGATGGCAAATTTAGAAAAAGCTGCCGCGAAAGAAACGGTTAAATTCATACGAGTTTTTTCGATGAGTACGTCCACTCTTCTGTCACCTTTTTGAGTTTGTTTATATATGACATCGACAATCGGAGGTGTCGAAATTGATATCGTTTCATCGTATTTTCTATTTCCTCCTTGGTAAGACTGAAACACTCTGCAAGAACAAAAATTTTTTTTTTGTTGCTAATTTTCTCCTCCAAACACTTCAAAAACTTTTTTTTTTTTCGAAATACTTTTTTTCTAAAACTGCGTCATCCGTTCGTATGTCTTCCAAAAGACAACTTTGTAACGTAAACGTTACTTCCATGCTACCGTCATAATATTTTTCCAAAAATAATGATGATTCCGTTAGAGTAAGTCTGCAAAGTCCGTGATTTAAATCTCTTATAGGAGAACTGATAACTTCACCCATGTCATTATACAAATCGATTATTATCGAATCGATAACGAATTTTATTTGTACGTCTTTTCTACATGCGTCGCTGTGACTTAAAAAAACTTGAAGTTTTCTCAAAAATAAATCATCGTTTTCAATGGGAGTTCTTTCGTCGATCGGGGAAACACTTTTCATCCACCAGGAAGGTTCTTGAAAAACAAAAGAAAGAAAATTTTTTATGACGTTTCCAACAACTTCTTCTTTTTTTTTTCAAAAAGAATTTATTACAAAATTCACCCAAAAATTTCTTATCGCTTATATTATCCTGCCAAACTGATAAAAACGTGAGCAAATCTTTTTGCCCGAATGATATTTTAACGGATTCTAACGTTCCAAATATTTCAAACAGAGGAAATTCTCTACTTTGAGTCGAATTATTATCGATTTTAAACATTATTTTAGGACCTCCGACGAAACGTTTCATATCGAATTTAGCTTGAATCGGTTCTAAAATATTTTCCTGCACTTCTAATTTTCCGGGTAGAGACATCAAAGCTCTGTGTAGGGAAATCGAATCTAGCTTGAGTAGTATATTGTCAATCACGTTCATCGTTCCATCTTTCGAACTGTATCCGGAAAGTTCTTTGAAAAAATTTTCAACGTTTAAATCTCCCAAATTGAATGCGAGTAAATTTGGCGATATTGATTTTTGCGGTAGTAAAAGTATCGGGAGATGTAAATTAAGAGAAAGATGAAGACGAGCGTTCCATCCTTTGAATTGATTCATTTGAATTGCAAAACATTTACGAAAAAATTCGGTAAAAGACCAAATCATTCCGATCGGTATTATCGGTTCGACGAAATGCTAAAAATCAATTTCAACGTATAATTATTAATTAATTAAATAAAATCGATATTCGTATGAAATAAATAAAAATTCACCTGCAAATCAACAAAAGTTTTATAAACGGCCACGCAATTGATTCTTTCTAAAATAAATTTTAAACTTCCGTCGGCTTGAACATCATCTTTTCCTCCGCCCAATCCTTTGTTATACAATCGAGGACTGTGTCTCACGTATTTAAATTCCATAACCCTATCTTCTTCGACGGATATTATCTTCGGATAAAGTGTTATGTCAGAAAGATCATCCAACGAAACAAATGCTAAATACCCTCGAAGAATCATTCTTTCGTTGGCTTTAAACATGCAATCGCTTTCGAATCCTTTCAACTTAAAAAAAAAAAATCGTTCAAATAATAATAATAATTTTAATCAATATAATTCAATTGATGATGTTACAAACTTTAAATTCTAAAAATTCTAAATCGGTATCGCACAATTTTAAACGAAATTCGGTTAAATGAGTCGAATAACTAAATTTAATGGCGCCGGGAGGAATCGGTGGATCGTAAGAATTGTCGAAATTTTCTAAAAACGTACGAAACCGTTTGAAATTTTTAAATAAATTAAATATTTCACGATGAGCTATTCTGTAACAAAAAAAAAAAAAAAAAAAAAAAATGTCGTTAAAATTAAAAATTGGAAAAAATAAAAAAAAAACAAAATAAAACGAACGCGAAATTCGTTATAATTACTTTTTATATAAATATTGAAGATATTTAGTAAATGTCAATATGGCTTCCCTGTGAAGATTTACCGATAAATACCCGATATCTAAAATTAATGATTGTTCGACACAATGAAAATGAGTTCTAAAATCGGGACAATCGGATCGAACCTAAAACAAACAAACGATAATAATATCGTCGTGAAAAAAAATCCATAATTTCGTTATATATATATATTATTAAAATGATTTTGATTTACTTTTCTGTACAATAACGAAATAAAATCAACGTCACCAATGGTCGATATTATTTCTAAATATTCTCCTGAAGGTCCTAAATGTATTTTATCGATCAATTGTATTCCACCGAGTGTTATTTGTATTGCAGGTCCGTAATTCATAAAAGCAGAATCCAATTGAAATTTTGCTATTCTTCCCATTACGTAGGGACGATCACCCGAGTCGTTCGATCTGTTCAATACTATTATTATCTCTTTCACGATGACTCTTAATAATGACGTGATTACGTTATTTGGTGATATATTATCATCGAAACCGGGTAAATCTACTGTTCTAGCCCAAAGTTCTATGTCGTCATCGCTGACGTCAATCGATGACCAATTACCAACAGAAGCACTTAAATTCATAACCAAACTTTCTGAATTATCCGGAGTCCTCTGTCTGGAAAGTTCGCTGGATACGACCTTAATGTAAAATTTACTCGTTTTTATTATTATTATTATTATTAAAAAAATTAATAATTAAAATTTAAAATAGAAAAAAAAAAAAAAAAACGTACCAAATTTTTTATGTAATACAAATCTAATAAAACGTCAGGTTTAATGACGTCATTTTTAAATTCCGTTTCTCTGAGAACGGGAACAACGGATAAAATGGTACAAGTCGGATGTGGAATATTTTCTAAAAAGTCTAAAAGGAAAACTAATTTTTTATCCGATAGATTTAATTTAATCGTATGAAGGAGAAAATTTGTTTTCGTTTTGGGTAAAGATTTATATTCGGGTTTAATACTATTTGAAAAAACTATTTGACTTTTAGTTTTCGAAATGACGTGATGAACAGTTTCGTTAGATTCCAATAAATGTTGCCAATTTTCACCTGGAACAAAAAATTTTTTGATGAAAAAAAATATATATCTATGTGAAAATTGACAAATGGCAACATTGAAAATTTACTCAACCTGATGAACAGAAAAGTATTTGAAAACCTTCCATGTTAACGTGAAGACGATCGTAAAGTTTTTCCTCTAATTCCATTTGTGTGACGTCATCTAAAATAAATGGCGGTTGAAGATCCGTGTGTAAAACCCATTTACCTAAATCTAATATCAAATTGTAATCGTTTCTACAAAGGAAAATAGAACGAAACGATTAATTAAAAGAATTGTTTAAAATATTTAAATTTAAATTAATAAAAATAAAATGAACAAACTTTTGACAGGATCCATTTTCTCCGATAACAATACGAGGGCCTTTTACACACATGTTAACATCAATTTTAATTTGTCGCGTCGTTATTAAATTTTTAAATTTTATAAAATTATCGTAATATTTTTTTATATTATTTTTAAATAAATTTTGAGTGAGACCTATCCCTTGAAAAAAATTTAAAAATTGAGAAAAAGAATGCTGAAAATAATAATAAAAAACCGTTACATAACAATGGATAAAATTTTCATAAAGATAAACATAAAAATTATGTTTAACTTACTTCGTGATAAATTACACATAATTCCGCTAATATAAAAGATACGGCATAATCTGCTTCCACGGTCAACGGATTTTTTTCAAAATCGAAACATATGAAAGAATTTCCTTAAATTTAAAAAAAAGAAATTTCACTGATAAAATGATCATTTTAAAAAAATCTCACGTGTGAATTTGATTTCGTACCCGAATTAGGTTTCGAATTGATTATTGGCGCCAATCCTTGATCTCCTGTCGTGGCACCTTCGAAATTCAAACTATCTGCTCGTACGGATAATTTAAATGCATCGGCTGCTGGACGAGTTTCAAAACTTATGAGAAATTGACTTAAACTTAACGAACCTATTTCCGTTCCCCGTATAAAAATACTTCCGGAAATATGATGAATAGTAAAATTAATCTTATGTTCTGTAATCAATATTAATTAAACAATAATAATAATAATAATAATATTATTATTCGAGAGTTATTTTTTATTATTTATTAATATTACCTATATATTTTTTAGCCTTTTCCGGAGAAATATTAATATCGGTTTTTTTAATTTCGTCAAATTTTAATCTTTCCGTTGGTGATAATTGAGACCAAAGACCTTTTAACTTATCGGATCGAATTTGAAATTTGACAACGTTTTCGTTAAAATCCCACCATTTACCACTCTCGGTAATTATTTCTATTTTATCCGGATCTTCGTTTTTTATCTAAACACACAATTCGATTAATTTTTTTTTTGAAAAAAAAAAAAACAAAACCAAAATAAAGTTGAAAAAAATCAAATAAATTAAAATTTTCTCACTTCAATTTTTGCATGTTCTCTAGCTATGACCAAACTACATAAAGAAAGATTATCTTCTGCTTGTGCCAAATCGAGACGAAGTTCCGAATCTCCAGGATTAAGTATAAATTTTTTATACAAATTTTTATAATTTTTATAATTATTTCTGCAAAAATAATAATAATACATGTTAAATTATTATTATTATTATTATTAATAGAGAGTGTTTTATTAAAGAATTATCACCTTTGTTTTTTTATGTTTTTCCATTGATAAGGTCTGATTCTCTGTTGCAAAATGGCTTCCAATGCATATTTCCACCAAATCCTTGCATTTTTATTAACGTTACAATTTGGTCGAATATTTAAATACGGCCTGTCGTAAAAATAAATAACATATTACCACTCGTGAAAATTTATTTTTACGAGATGATAATGATAATAATAATAATAAAATAAACCTTTTCAAATGAATTCTTCGAAAGTGATTAAATAATGCAACAATGGAATGCAATTGAGCTCTTGATAAATTATAAACAATATCGTGAATGACTAAATCGACTAATAATTTAGGTACTCTGGCTTCTTTCGAACGACTCAATATAATTTTCATTTTTCCATTAAAAGGTTTAACGACTGCAAAAGAAAAAAAAAATTATCAATTAATAATAATGATTAGAATCGATGAAGCCTCAATATTCGAATACACATTTACCAAAATCGAATGGTTTTCCATTTATTTTAAACGTTCTTAAACCTTCTTTTAAATTTTCCCGCCAATTATCGACATTGAGAAAATCATTGACATCCGTTTCGACATTTAAATATAAAGAAGCAGCATCGAGTTTAACCAATTGATGTATAGTCGAATTTCCGGTTGATTGAACGTGAGGTTTCCATTTGCTATAATAATAATTTCTTTTATATTAAAAAAGGAATTTTAAAAAAATGAATGATGGGAATAATAATAATAATAAAAAAAAAAAAAAACCTGTTTGTTGTTTCCGTCGATAAACATTCTATGCAAAGACCGGAAACGATACCGTTACAACAATATTTATCTTCGAATCTAATATGTATTTTACGTATGAATATTTGTATGTTGTTCGTTAAAGCCGTTAAAAAACCATCGAATAACGAACCCGTCGTAAATCCAAATATATTTTTATAACTATCCAAATCTTTTAATATTTTTCTTTTGAATGCTCTTATTAATTTTTTTTCTTTTTCGATTGAATAATTATCCGAATCGCATGACGTGCCCACAATTAAAACATCCTGTTTAAATTAAAATTATTAATTTGTAAAATTAATAAATAAAAACAAAATAATAATAATAACAAACGGAAAAACAACCTCGACGTTAACGACAATTGCTTGACTGGATAAACTGTTCCATGGAATGATGACGTTTATTTTTCCAATGATACCATATTTAACTTCGATTGGTAATTCCAAATCGACCTAATTTTTTTTTTTTTGCAAATATTAATTAAATTTCAAAAAAATTATGAATTAATTAATTCATTCATTAATTAATTAACTCACCAATGCTTCCGGTTTAAGATTTAAATTATTTAAATTAACTTCTCCTCCGAATATGCCAACGTTTAAACTTTCCGTATCTAAATCTTGTACGTATTTTCCCAACCATTTATTAAATATTCTCGCTATAAATCCTTCGAACATTTTATTTAATAATTTTTAAACCTATAAATAAATAAATAACCCTATTAAATAAATATTCGAGTTATAATAATAATAATAATTTACCTTATGTATTATAATAAAATAATATTATCCAGACTGTTCCAGAATGTTTTGAAAAAAAAACAAAATTTTTTATTTTTTCCCACGGTTTATTAACTTTTCATTTTTGGAAAATTTTTTTTATTAAAAATAATTATTTATTTATTTAAAATTCGTTGTTGTGTTTAAATAAAAAAAAAAAAAAAATGATTTTTGACAGATTAAACACACCAATTTTGTTTTCCTTGACCCCTATCGATTTTCATTTTTTTTTTTTTTGGCGATGCATAAAGCGCTGGCGCCCCAGGATATTCAACACGTGGGGATGAAAAAATCAATTTTTACTGTACCCCCTACCCCTTTCCCCCCTCCACTTCATTTCCCCCGAATTATTATTATCATTACTTGTCATGTTTTTATATTATTATTATCTTCCTACGCGGCGTCATTCAACCTCATCGAATCTAAAAATAAATATTTTATCCCGTTTAAATAATAATAATAATAATATGTATAATTTTGAATTAATTTTCCTGTCATTTTATTATAATTAAATAATAATAATAATAATAATTTTAACCTTTTCAATAAAAAAAAAAATTTCTTCATTTATTTCCGGTTAAAAAATTTGGATTCGTTGACTGCATCACATAAACGCACATAACCTTGTCCGTTATTTTTGATAACCGTTTATATATTAACCAGGTATCAGTGGAAAAATGTTCCTAGAATTTATGATGATACGTTAAAATGACGTTTAGTAAAAATTTTTATTTATTATTTACCATTGCGATTCTAGTAAGAGACGATGTGCAGTTATTAAAAAATATTTTTAAATAAAAATAATAATAATAATTTTGTTATAGATCGACGTCGTGTTTAACTTACCGAAAAATGATGATGACGAATTTGATATTAAAGCATTTTCAAATTGTCGTAATTTGCATTTGAAAAGAGGAATTGGAGAATGTTGTAAAATCACTAAAAAAAAAATATGGGGTATGTTTTTTTCTTTTTTTTTTAAATTAAATCAAAAAAAAAATAAATATTTGGGGTATTACCCTGCGATTTAGGTGATCTCGAATCATCTTTTCGTAAATGTAGAAAAAGGATCAAATCGGTTTTAATTGATACGACAACTACGTCATCAGTGCCCGATTTTAAAACGGTAATTGAAATGTCGATTGATGAGAAAATTTTCCCGGATAATCACTTTGCACTTAACTATTACATTCCTCGTAAGTTAATTATTTAATTAAAAAGAAAAAAACAGATTACGGTCATACATAATGATAATATCCTTATTTATATTTCAGGTAAAAAAAAACATGATTCGTTTGAAAAACAGGTAAAAAAAAAAAAAAAAGTTATCTGTAATAAAATTAATAAATATTAATTAAAAATAAAAAAAAAATTTTAATTTTTTCAGTGCTTTTTAGAATGCGTTCTCAAAGAAGAAGGTTTGGTAAATATTATTAATTTATTAATTAATTTTAATTAATTAATAATGAGTTTTTACATACCTGAACATCCATATTTGTTTTTTTTTGTTAGTGTGATTATAAATTTCAATTTTTTTTTGATTTAGATAATTAATGATAGAGTGGATAAAAATGGTATTTTACAAAGATTTACAACGACTTTAAAATACGATTATAAATGGCGTGCGGTTGCTATTAAAGCTGCTGAAAAATGTATGAATGAAAAAAATTATGATAATAATAATAATAATTCATTTGTTGGTTTGTGTAAAACCGGTTCATCTGAAATATTTAAATGTATTTTTAAAGAAACATTTTTTGTAAGTTTTTCATTTTTTTTGTTAAAAATTTTCCATCCTTTTGTTTCCCCTTAAAAAAAAATTTTTTTTAATGTTTTAGAATTGTCCAACATGGCCAATCGACAGTAAGTTTTTTTTTTTTTTTTTTTATAATAGCAAAAATATAAATAAATAAATAAAAAAATACCAATTTTCGAACATGGTTTTCGCTTTACTATTTCAGATGAATATTGCACAAATCTCAAACATTTTTATCTTAGGTGTTCGAACGAGTCTCAAATTTCTTCAGAGTATAATAAATTTCAATCATATTCAAATGTTGACTATTCAATAGATGCTCTCACACTGGAACCTTAAAGTTATTTTTATTCATTAGATGACAATTAATACATTACAATGTTAAACATAATTTAAATAATAATAATAAATAATAAATGATGAATAATTTTAATAAGATATTTTATTTTTTCATCTATAAAATGAAGACAAAAAAATGCACTGTAAAATTGATAAATAGGCATGGGAAAAAAAAAAAAAATTTTTTTTTTTCTCCCTCCACAACCTATAGTGTAAATAAAACATGCTGATTATAACACCATCTAAAAAAAAAATTGAACATGAAGTACGTATGTCGTGAATATCATTTTCACGTCCTTCATTTCGGCTAAGATTCAGGCTTTTATTTTCAAATGAATTTTTCGTAATTTTTATTTAAAAGCTTTTCTTTTTCTTTTGAGAAGCTCAATTGTGTTGTTTTTGTTGATGATGATTTTTTTTTTTTATAAAAAATATCCAAACCCGAAAGTTCTTTTTAAAGCATCCCAATAATAACGCTCCCAATTTTCAGTTGTTGCATCAGCTTCTCTGTAATCGAATTGATGATAATTTTTTTTTTTTTTTTTTTTTTTTACAGGGCAACACAAACAATTTAAAACCTTTAAAATTATAAGTTGATATTGAAAGAGACACGTACCCAGCAGGAACTCCTGTTTGAAGGACTTCTAGTTCGGTGTGATCCTGTTTTTGACGAATTTCAATTGTCACAGTTGAATAATGACCCTCCGGCCATCTTTTTAAACGCCACGATTGAATAAGTTTTAAATTTGGTACAATTTCGATAAACTTTCCGTGAACGTAACCGCCAAAAAGCTCAAATTCTCCACCCTTTTGCAGATCTAATTTAACTGGACCGTGTGTAAATGCTACAACCAACTGCATAATAAAACAAATAGCATTTTAGATTAAAAGTATTTAAATAAGTAGAGGTAATAACGGAAAGACTAAATTGTATTTGTAAATGTTACATCATAACAGGTAAGCGCTCTGTATAATTCTTCACCGGTGCATTGAAAGTTTCGTGTCATCTTTAATTTAGTCGTGTTAACGTTATTTCCATCATTTTTAACAAACTCATTGTTTTTAGCAGATGAATTCAATTCTGAATTTGAAATGGAATTTTTGACTTGAACTTTAGTGTCATGACCACTTGTTACATTATTAATACTGTCCTTGGTTTTTTCATCGCTATCCTTCCTTGGCAAAATCATACCTTGAGAGAACTCTAAAATGAATACAATTCTTATTAATTCTGTTACTAGTTTTAATAAAATTAAAAATTGATTACCAATAATTAAATTAATAATAATAATAATAATAATAATAATAATAAAAAAAAATATTTGAATCGATAACTCACCTACTTTTAAACCCTGTACATATTTACTTAATTTATCCCTAATTATAGGTGTCCCACATTCTTTAAGTATATCTTTAACGGTTGTAGCTTCAAGAGAGGAATCATTGACGGTAAACATAACATCAACTTCATGGATTTCATTTTCTTCGCTAAGATTGGGAATATGTATAGTTCCTGTCACCGATTTTTCTCCATCACTTGTCAACTTTCCTTTCCAATTTAACGTGATATCCCACTCGTAGAAAAATATTAATTTTCCTTTTCTATTATTAGCTACGGCTTCTCCATTACATTTATCTATCTCGGTTATTTTACATTTAATCGCGTCATTTTCTATTTTAAGATCCTTAAATAATTCTTTAAATTTACTTTGCGACCATCCGCAAGCATTTTTTTCCGTCCAATGCCAGTTGTTTACATTAATGGCATCCGGCCTTTCTTCGACAATCCAACGCGGATCTCCTTCTCCCCATTTAGCCATTTTGAAAAAATTTTTTAATTTAATCACTAAAACAATAACCTAAAACAAAAGCCTCGTTACACAATTTTACAATCTAAATTTCTTAACTAGTTAAATTCATTCATGTAATTTTATTTCGTAACTCCAATCAATCATAAATTCAATGGAAAAATTTTGCGTGAATACATTACATCGGCTTTTAGGAAATTACACATTAAAAGACGATATATTTTAGGTTATAAATACGAT